TTTCAACCCGAAGAATGTCAACAATTTGCCGCATAGATTGGGTTCGTGTGTTTCCGCCGGATCTTTAGCCTCGCTTTCCATTTGAGCCAATTGTTGGTGAACTTTATGGATGATATCGCGGGCCGGTATTGAAACCACACTCTGACCCATATTAGCGCTGATTATTCCCTGCGATTCTGCGATGTGTTGTAGGGATGAATTGGGCGGAAGGGTTAGCGTTGAGCCCGAGTAGAAGATATCCCTCTTATAGATGGGTCGCACAGTTATTGTTTGATTTTTATTGGCGGCCGAATGGGTCGGTGTTCCCGATGTGAGGATCACTTGCAGCGGTTGTGTTGGCGCCGCCACTACTGTGTGCGCCGAATTCGACGACTCAGACATCGTTCGGGCGCTGGTCTGCCGTCGGACGCGGTTTGCCGTCAGTAGAGAACTGCTGGACAAACGGCTGACCACATCTCCGGTCGGCGATTGCGGGGCTATTGTCGTACTCGAGGGAAATGTTAGCTCTCCTGACAAAGAAATGGCAGAGTCTTGTAATTGCATTTCCAGATCTGATAGCAGAGCCGAACCAACAAACAAAAAGAGAGTGGTTTTCATTCACAAAATGGTAGTGTTTTAAAGCAATTATCAGTGCAAATGTCACTCAAAAACACATTCAAACATACCTTTGTCTTCGGTGGGCGAACCGGGACACGATTGAGGGCTCGAATTCTCTGAGTTAACCACTTTTCTCTCAAGAATAGGTGAGAGCTGTTGTGTCTGCGGTGTCTGTGGCGTTGGCGGAGAGAATAACTGATCCAAATAGAGAGTGGAATGGACTCCGGGCTCAGTATTGAAGAGCCGATTCTTGAGTGAAGTGATGGTGTCGTGTTCGTCGTACTCCTCCTCTTCTTCCTCTTTGTTCTCGCAATTGTTTTGCATCATTAATAAGATCTGAGAGTTCGAGTGCGACATAAGTCGGCGGCGCTTCTCTTCGGCTATCCTCTGGAGTAATGGCTTTCGCGAAGAAGTCCTTGTGTTGGAGTCGTCGACAACGATGGCCTCCGCGTGAACGTTGAGCGGACGCATCAGTGCCCCGAAGACAGTGCAGTGAAGGGCCAGAGCGGCCAAAATCATAAGTGTGTTCTTCCAATCCATTTT